GAGAGAGAGAGAGAGAGAAGTTTGCCAAATTTCTTAAATCGAAAAAAAAAAAAACGTATAATGTAATTGTTAATAAAAGTGTCAAAGTGTCAATAATTTTCAATTTGTTAACAAATAAAAGAAGAAAACTTTTCGTGAATTAAACCTTAACAAGGTCAATTAAATAATAATGCTACATTCTTCAATTAATCTTATATAAATTTCTTTTATGGAGTCTAAAACTTTATGAGGATACGCAAAAAATTGAGAAAATGGCCTTTCCTCGATATTTTTCCTCGAGATGAAATCGAATCGGAGGACAAAGCAGTTCGACAGTCAGTAAGTTGAAAAAAATTTCCGGTATTTCGGGGGCATTCTGTGTAAAGCATCAAAACAACGATATCGCAGCGCGCATCATTTTGAACGCGGATGTCTGGCGGGTGTTGCGCCCGCTCTAAAATCATATTTTCTCGATCGCTCTCCATTCTCTGTTACGTATGTGCGCAATACCTTGACCGTTCACCTATTGCGAAACAGGCCGTTAACGAAATGTAATGCTTTTCATCGCGCGGCAAACATAACTATTGTTCCAAGTAATAGTTCCTAACACGCGAAAATGATGCGGAAGTATAAAAAAATTAGTCTAAACTAGGAACTTCCGTGTAAAGTATAATAAAAACAATTGTCCGCAAATGTTTTCACGGCGAGCCACGTTCTAGTTGAAGCGGATGATATTGCTACTTTTCCATCGATCGTGAAATTTATTATTTTTGTACAAACTTCCAATTGTTTTGACATTTTAACGTTTAACAACATTTGAATAGAAATTGTAATTATATATTTTAATTATATATTTTAATTACATTAATAATAATTGAAACGCGATGCAGATTACAAGAGAGAAAAATCGTGTTTTGCGTCGCTTTCCTTCGTGTTATACATTCGTGTTATATACGAGATGAGAAACTGTTATTTAACGAGGAAAATCTACCAAATCTCAAGTCGCATTCTCGCGTTCTCGTTGAGCGAGAAATTTAATATTTATATTCCGCGCTAATCGCGTCAGATCGCAAATCTTCGCCTCGTGAGATAAGGCATCTGTAAGTGAATAGCCGTAAAATGGCGATTACACAGTGTCCAATTAGGAATCACGAGATGATCCGCGGAGCACGAAAGCGAAAATATTTAAGCAAGGCGTGACGAAACGAAGTGCACGGCTCGTCGAGTCACTTCATGAATTAAACGTCTTGAAAAACGATGCACGCCGTGTCGCGTTTGGTTAGAGACGTAAAAACAATTTTTTTTTCTAAAAGTAGAAAACAGTCTTTGTCCAGGTATAAATTACATCTTACATTAACGGATGAAAAAATGCGCTTTTCATCGATCAATTTTGCCAGAAAAATCAATTTCACCGATGATTTAAAGCTATTTATTATTTTTTTTCATCAATCAAATTAATATTTAGTAACAAATGAAACTTTTTTGAGAAAAAGATGAATGCTGTTAGGATTAGCTTTATTTATCATGAGCGTTAAAAGTATACTTAAAAGTTACTTTGTATGATCAACAAATTGTAACAGAATTTTGTTTATAACTTTATATGTTTAAAAAACTATTTGAAAAATCTGAAATGTACAATACGATGTAATATTTATATTTTTAAATGTGCATAAGCATACGTATATTTCAATCAAATTTTGATTTATGTAATAATCGATTATTAAATAATCAAGAAACTATAATTTAATACATGAAATCATTTAATAAATCATTTAATAAATAAGATTATAGTTATTAATTTTTTATTTAACTAATTTAACTAATTTAACAATAGACTTCGATTAAAGACAGATTAGAGAGAAATTGTATAATTAAAAATTGTGTTTAAGCGAGTCTCCGGTTGAATTAATAGCTGACTAACAATAAGTTAATCAAAGTTACCTATAATCAAAACAAAAATACATGGATTACTTTTAAGATCATTGCTTTAAAATCCAAATTTTTTTGTATGGTTTGAAAGATCATTAGACACGCTCTCTCGCTATTGTTCAATATATCGTATCAAAATCGTTACACACCACATAAACATTTAATAAAAACACATTGAGAAATATCGAGAAAGATACAATATCGAGAAAGATATTACTCGGATTAAAGTAGTGTTGTGAGATTGAAAACTGTATTGCGATGTGATATTCATTATTGTTTCAAGTTCTTGAAACAAGAACAAAAAGTGAGTTCTATATTGAAATGTATATTTTTCTAACAGTCATCGACCCGCATTACGTGTTCAAGATTTAAAAGAAAGTGTTGGAGAAACGCTTAACCAGGCTATAAATAACAACGATGTAGACATACATGCATATATTTATATGTTTAAACTGTTTGTTTATAATTATACTATACGTTTATTTATAATTATATTGTCCAACATGGATTTTAAATCACAAATTGAACTAGTAGATTTTTTTCACTGAAAACAAATCTGTAAATAAAATTGTTTTATCATATTTTTTAAAAAATTGAACTTAAAAATTCCGAAAATGGCATTTTTTGTGTACCTTTGAACTAAAATACCTTAAAAATATGACGTGATAGAACAATATTACTTATAGATATTTCGTTTTCAGCAACAAGGAATTTATAAGAATCGACTAGTCCGGAAAAAAAAGAGTTTAAACTTGTCGAATAATATTATTTACATTTATCCTGTAAATTATTTTGATTGATTTTATATCATTATCTAAAATATCATAAAATTCTTGACGGAATCAAGAAGAAACTTAAATAGTGAGCATAACGATAGTAATATTAATAACAATAATAATAATGTATGTATGATATTCGTATATATCAAAATGCAATGTAGAAATTTAGATTCCATCTGCTAGAAAATGCTAGAAACTCAGGATTCTACGCTAATGGGAATTCAGAATCCATCCGAAATTTCGGACTGCGGATCGTCCGAAGCGTGCTCAGGTAGACGGGATCCCCGGGGAACTGCGGGACGCGCGGATCGCCTCGCGCGAGATGCTTTGTGAGAGACTCACCGTAATATCACCTCGCGGAAAAGTGAAAGCCAAAGCGACGAACGACAAGCGGACAGAGACAGCGGCAGTGGCAGCGGCGCTCGCGACTAGAAGCGGTTTCGATCGTCACCGCCTTCAGATGATGCGGCCTTGCCTTGCCCGTGCTCCGACGGGATGGAAACCACCGTCGCCGCCGCCGTGATCCCCCATCCGCAAAAACGGAAGTCGATGAAAGTGGAAAACGAGCCGGATCGGGTCGGCGGCTGGCGTGCGCTCAGCGCACATTCGTTTTTTGCCGCGCGATCGCGATCGGCCAATCGGAGAGCAGCGCGCGCTGCTCCGATGGACGTCAGCGAGCGCGATCTCCACGGAGCAGATAAGTCGCTTTTTTCCCCAGTGCGACATCGTGCTTTTTAGGCATACTTTACTTCTACAACGCCTCTTTGCCGGCGGTTCGGTTTACCGATAGAATAGATGTAATTGAATACGACTGCGTGTGTCTCCGATACGCGAGTATACACTTTCGCTGTCCGACTAGCCATCGATCTGTTCTTATATTATTGAAAAAAATGATTGTCAGGGGAAAGAAAGTTCCATTTAATTTGTTATTGATTGGAATGTAATGGAGAGATGAAACAGCGTTGTGGGAGATGAATGTAAATACCGGTTCTGAGTAAAGGAGAATACGGTGGAACTTTCTGGTAAGACGATGTAGCGCAAAGTTTAAAAATATGTCGCTTCTCAGTGACAACGGCAAATAGACAAAATAATATAAATAGTAACTATTTAATTAGTTGGGAGTTTTTATTTAACTTCGTTGAGATTTCAAGTGAGTTTACTTTTTTATTTAACTAATCGTGTTTTAAAAAACACATATTAACTCTTTAAATTTAACTTTCCTTTAAATTAACACTTTGTTGTTTCATGTCATAATTTTTATGTTTCACATTTATTTCACAGTTATAATCGTAATTATTTTATTGTTAAAACAATCCAATTTTTTAAAAACTACTAATTTAATTAATTAAAATAAAATTAAAAAATAATTTATTCAATTTTGCAAATGAAGATGCAAATGATTCAAACAATAACATTAAATCTTAGAAAAATATATGTAATAACTAATAATCATTAATAACGTATTAAAAATTATAATAATAATTGTTAATAACATATAAAATGCAATACTTTATTAATACTATATACATGAACATTTGATATAATTAATATATTAAAATATTAATATAATATGTTAACATTTTTATTATTATATATCAAAAATAAAAAAAATACCAATAAAATCTAAAATTTGGTCGAGAATTTATTGCAATATTCAATCGTAAAAAAGATTAATATTGCAACGAATCATAAATATTAATAAACAAACTAATTAATAAACAAACTTTTACTTTGTGCAAAAACAAGATTATTCGTACATGTGAATTTATGTAATTGTAGCTCTGGACACGCACTTTTAGTTGTTGTCGGGACAAGGAGATTTAATTTCTTATGTGCTTTTATATGATAGACGTATATCATATAAAAGCACATAAGAAATTAAATCTCCTCGTATAATATATTTATCCAAACGTTTCGTGGAGAGCGAGAGGATAGAAAGCGATATCAGGAGAAATCACTGTTGCAGATTAAAATGCTAATTATCGACGATTCCTTTTCCTAATAGCGGCCAGTAGTATCGCCGCGCGACTGAATGACTGATCGCTCGTTTCCAAGTCAAGCAGGGAAATCTTGTTTGCGAGTGCACGACTAATAAGGGAACATCGCCGACCGGAGCTCTCGTACGTTCGGATGAAACTTCGTGATTGTACGGAGCGAGGCACGCGAATTAATTATCCTGGGAAAAACTCGGAAAAAAAATTAAATTCCTGCGATACACACGAGTCCGGATGGATCTTTCTTGTATCCCGCGTCTAGCTAGCGAACAACACATTACAAAGACATACACAGAGGGATGAGAATACACGGATCGTTTATTTTTGTTTTATTTTATTATATCTTAAATTTACTTGAATTCAAATACGCAGAGTAAAAGAAATAATCATCAAGTCTCCTTGAATTCGCCCCTGAAGATCAATCTTTATTCTTATGAATACGTTGTAATTCGATGTAATTTGAAAGCGAGATTTTGCAACATGCGACACAAAATGATCTTATCTTTTAATCGATTATAAGATATACAAATGAAAAATTTACGTTTGTTTACAATGTTGTTTGTGCATGTGTATAACATTGCATTTGAATTCTCCTTTTTCATATATGTAATATATAGATAATTGTATAAATATAAAATATAATCTAATTTCACAAAATAGAAAATTATGTCAACTATTTCTATTGTTCATTATTATCATAATGTACAATTATAATAGTATTCATATGGGTTACATTGTCCGTGTCTCTTAAATGCGCTTTTTAAAAAAAATGTAATTTTTTTTAATAAATTATGATTATCGCCAGATTCGCCGATTTTATCTATACTAAGAATAATTGCAAATTTAAGATTCACTAACGACATTTAAAAAAAAAAATGATAACACGATAAATGATCGCACGTAATTATGAGGTAAAAAAATAAATTAATATATATACATAATTCAATTTCGAGAAATTAAAATCAATCAAGTTCATAGATATTACGTATACATATGAATACTTATCTCTGTAATTTAAAAAATTACTCAGTTGTATAGTAAATAATATTGATTAAATATGTTCTTTGATTAAATTGATATTCATTTGTTATATCTGAAAATTTAGAAGACAAATTCGGCCTTGACCATTATCTCTTTCTTAAGTACTTTCCTAATGTCGTCATAGCAAAATTCATACAATTAGATAGCAGTATAAAATTACAAATTCCACAAAAAAAAATGTAAATATATATCTACATACATATGTCTATTGTACGTACAAATGTATATTATATATATTACATATAATATTATGCAATAACATATAAATAATATGTATATTATATGTATATATATTATTTTTTAATATTTTTCGTACATAATTATATTTAAATTCTCATTTATATCTTATTTCTTATATAATCGCAAGAGAACTGTCCTATATAACTATACAGATAATATGTCAATTCTTTGATACATTTGTATGAAACAAACTCGTAAAATGATAATAAATAAAATCTTTACAAAAAATGTATATAATTAATTATAACAAGTTAATTACATTTACACTTAATATTGCAAAGTTTTAGCTTTCAATATTTTTATATTATCACAAAAAATATTTTTTTGTAAACAAGAAGCTGAAAAAATAACATATTAAACTTGAGAATTGAAGATTCTCAACATTATAAACTGGAATATAAATCTTTCTTTGTATATGAAATAATTTTAAAACTTATACAAAATTCTCTATCACTTCTCTTCGTTTAAAGGAAGAGTTATAGTCCGTCTCAATTCCTGTAATTAGCCTGTATGCTAATCGAACATCATTAGTACTTATATATTTTAAATATTCCTGTATATAGGTAAGTCATGGTTATATGTATCAAAATATAATTTAAACAGAATATAGATAAGAATCTAATTTCGTTTTCGCGTTAGGAGGCGAAGTAAAAGGAGAAAACCAAGCTATCGAAAATCTTCCAAAAACTGCTTGAATTGACTTCCATCTGCTATTACGAACCCACCTAGCTTCCTCCTTTTTAAGTTGTTCTATACCCTGTAATACATATTGTGATAAATACAAACTTCAACTTTTTTTATACATATACAACTAGAAAGATTGATCGTCTTCTTTACGTACAGTTTCGTCATTCCAAATGGCTTGCAATTGCGTGCCTAACATCACAGCGGTAAAAACGGCAAATAAAAGTGCCTCGAACGCCAAAAATAACAATAATACCACCGTTGCCGGCGGATTGAACGTGGAGCATTCCCTCCATTCTTGTCTGACACACGTAGTAAATTGTTGTATACACAGAAATAGGGATTGCAATGATATTCCTGCTATATAAAACTAAAACATAACATATAAAAAAATATATAGCTACATTAGTGTGCAAAGTATTTCAATAAATTTATATCGAATACTAAAAATATATCAAAAATACATCTCAATAAATTTGATTATTTTTTGTAAAAACAAATTTGTTTCTTGAATCAAAGTGTATATGTAATTTGAGAAATACTCACAGTAAAAAGCACAAAATATTTTTGATTATTCTCCCCTACACAATTATTAACCCATGGACAATGGTGATCCATTTTCCTGATGCATCTATAATTATAGTTATTATATATGATATAATCAATGCGATGTTATACTTTACGAATATAAGTTTGATCTTATTAAATTTACCTTTGACAAACAGAGCAATGATGGGCTCTGTCAGGCTTAATAGAACAACATTTCGGACACTTAAAAATAACTTGTCCATCTCTAAATCCCATTTGTTGTATCATCTCTTTTGTTGCATTGCCTTTTGGTACCGCACCCTTTAAAAACGAGGTATCAGTAACAAGGAAAAAGAGATTCGACAAATCTTAAACACAATATATGCTGAATCTCTAGCAATAGAGATTTCAATGTTATCTTAATTACCGGATCTGTAAACATGGTTCTTAAATGTGATGCAAAGGCCAGGAATGCTAGAGATTGGAAAATGGCCATGTTTAAGCTGGAATATAACGTATTTATGGTAGGAATAAGAATTACAGCCATTACTACAAATTCGGCATAGATTATCAATAACCATGTTAATACCGCACATATGATACCACATATATCCTGCAAGTAAAGACACAACATTATATTAGAAATTACATGGAAAAGTCGATAAAATTTTTAAGATGACTTTAATCAATTAACACAAATGTCAAAATTGGCAAACTTCCTAGGTATACAATTCATCATTCTTAATCTTATATCAATTAAAACAACAGGAAATTAATTTCATTTCATAAATGTTTTCCAGATAAAGAAAAATATCATTTGATAAACTAATTGAAATTTGGTCAAAGTTGTTCTTAAAAAACATTAGAAAAATATTCATTTGCCTTGATACACCAGAGCTTCCCACCACAGCATCTATTATGGAAGTCTTTCTCCCTATGAAAGGGCATATAATCATAATCCATCGTTGAAATTGCTATTTAGTGAACTATTGTATCTTTTATCAAACATAAAGGTAATCATTAACATTTCCACCTTTGTATACACAAAAATCTATAGTCATATACCTAAAAAAACACTGATATAGAATATCTAAAGAAGGTAACGTTTCTGAAAAACTGAATAAAGTCTGAAGGATTTTACTCGTCCAATATGAGAATCTCTCAAGATAAACATCTACAATCTCATTTATCAACGATAACGCAGAATTAGACGGTTACACTTGGCCGAGGATGCGAGGAGAACGCGGGGACACCGGGGGTAACAGAGAAGTCACAAGGAAATCTTTTGCTCTCGCGGCTGATGTTACCGCGGCGGACTAGATCGAGTATTCACATCACGCTACAATAACGCGCGTCCGCGAGGAGCAACAACGTGCAACGTCCATCGTCATAACGTTCCGCGTTGAGACGTCGTGAGACGCGTGCCCCGCGGATTGACCCCGCGTCCGCGGAGCGCGTGGAGACAGACTTTTTTTCCGACGTCACCTGTGCGATCGAGCGATGGGACGCGTGCGGCGCATGAGACGTGCAGTCATAAATGAACAACAAATATTCGCTCAAATCCAACACGGAGAAGCGAGTCGACTCGGTGTCGTCGACAAGATTAGTCCGTTGTTCGTTCTCCGTTTCTCTCCCTCATCCCGCCTGTCAACGATTCGCAATCGCAATTCGAAAAACCATGTGCACGGATCTCTCCGCCGAGGAAAGAATGAGTGCTGTCGGATGAGCGGACCGAGAGCGGCCGGTAAAGGCTAGGATCTACCTTACCGACTTATCTCTCACGAGTGTTTCTGTCTCTCTCTCTCTCTCTTTTTCTCTCTCTTTCTCTATCTGTCTGCTTTTATTTATCTTATCCGCATGATATGAAAACGCCGGTAGATCTCGCCGCGCGCGCCGGCGAGTTTTGACAGCGCGCGCGGCACGATAGGTGGGGGACAGGCGGAGATAAGGGGGCGCGCGCGCGCGGCCATATTGGCTACTTGTGACTTTCGGGTGGAACGAGTAAAAAAATAACCCAACTTTTCCTCGTCTCTCGTGCGCGCAGGAAAATGTTGCCCCGGAGGATCGTCCATTGATCCACGATACGGCCGATCCTGTCAACGTGACTGCGGCGTTGCGCCGGGGTATTTCACCGTTCCCACGAAGGCTGTCCCTTTCCTTGGAAAATGGTGCGTTCGCCACCCACGGGGGGTTGCGGAGGCCTCGGCCCACCGTAACCCGAGATCGCACGAGGCATCGCCGTCCCGTCTGTACGGTATTTCTAATTTGCTTTTGATTCTTTCACGCAGAGCTTCTTCGGTTTTGGCCAATCCGCCGACATAGAGATCACGTTGGACGGCGCTGAGACGCGGAAGACCGCGGACATCAAATCCGAGGATGGCAAGAAGGAGCGGCACTTGCTCTACTACGACGGCGAGACCGTGTCAGGCAAGGTAGGACCTGCATCCTAGTCATGATCTGAACACGATCATTGCATTGATCATCCAGCTTGATGTGTGAAACAGAGGAATGACTTGACAGGCCTGAAATGTTAATGCACTTGCATGTCATATGTTCAATGAGACTTATTTGTTCCATGAAAGTTGAATGAATCTTGCATCCTTACTGCGCATAGACTTTTTGTTTATAATATATCTAATGAATTGTCAGTAATAGAATTATATATCATTCATCTTTTATTTGACAAGTTAAAATGTGATTTATCAACTTATATAATATAATAGAGCTATAGATTTACAGTTTAATATTTATTATTAAGATATAATAATTGTAGGAAAATATATATCTGTGCATGTAATTGCATCTTATGTTCTTTGAATCTTGTATTATGTTAATTATTTGTAACATATTCTTTTTGATACTTTCCAATGTTCCGTCATATGCTTTTGTAGTATAAATCTATTGCTAAATCAATGCTTGCAGATTAACATCAGTTTACGGAAAGCTGGAAAGTTAGAACATCATGGTGTCAAAGTAGAATTTATTGGACAAATTGAGTTATATTACGATCGAGGTAACCATCATGAATTTACAAGTCTGGTTAAAGAATTGGCGAGGCCAGGAGAATTAACACACAATACAATGTATACATTCGAATTTCCAAATGTTGAGAAACCATTTGAGAGTTACACGGGTTCCAACGTGCGATTAAGATACTTCTTGAAAGTGACAATTGTACGGCGAATTAGTGACATTATTAAAGAACTCGAATTAGTTGTGCACACTCTTAGTTCCTATCCAGATATGAATAATCCCATTAAAATGGAAGTTGGAATTGAAGACTGTTTGCATATCGAATTTGAATATAATAAAAGCAAGTAAGTTCTATATTGCGTGACATTTCTATGCTGCTCCAATAATTGAGCTATCAAATATTGATAACTCTATCCATCTTTTCAGATATCATTTGAAAGATGTAATTGTTGGAAAAATATATTTTCTTTTGGTTAGAATAAAATAAAACATATGGAGATAGCAATCATCAAACGAGAAACTACAGGCTCTGGTATGTTATTATAATAACTTGTATGTCGAAATGTATCACGTAGCTATAGTAATTAATTATAATTTCCTGCAGTTTTGTATGCATGCAGCATTGCATGTTGGCAAAATTGAAGCGCAAGTTTTAGTTTTTTAAGAGCTTTTCCCTCATAGTTATTCATGATATTAAGGCTATAATTAGAATATATATTTGCAGGTCCTCATACGTTCACTGAGAACGAAACCATAGCGAAGTATGAGATCATGGATGGTGCACCCGTTCGAGGAGAGTCCATTCCCATCAGGGTGTTCTTGGCTGGATATGATCTGGCGCCTACAATGCGCGATATTAATAAGAAATTTAGCGTTAGATATTATCTGAATTTGGTTCTTATGGATGAGGAAGATCGACGATATTTTAAGCAGCAGGTGAGCCATTTATATAAATTCGCACTTTTCTTTAAAATTATATTTTTATACGTTCAAACGAAAATATTATTTTACTTATATTTCTCTTTATATTATCACTTTCATCTTTTTGTAATCTGCTCAGGAGATTACACTATGGAGGAAAGGTGACAAGAACAGAAAATCGCAAACGGCCTCGCCACACATGCCATCGCATTTAGTATCGGCCGAAACAGGATTTCCACAAGGTGCTGCCCAGAATGGCCCACCATCAGTACCGCCTGGCTCCGGTCAACTGACGACGAGTAACGTTACGAACGCAGAGGATACTCCAGCACCAATCGAAGGCATGACACGAGAGGAAGGAGACGGCGAAGGTGAAAAGGAAGGCGGTCTAGAAAGTGATTGAGTCTCCGCGTGTAGTTCTGTTCCTGGTGCCACTTACGGCCCAGATTAGTTGAGAACGTTAAATATGGCTGAAATATGCAACAAAAAAATTAGCTTAAAAAGAAAAGTCTCTTTTATTGTGTTGGGAGATTTGTTTTTATTAAAAGAAAAACAGCGGGATATATAAAAGGCCTGCTAGCAAAGTTGTACATATTTTGGATACCTTATATATACATATATACATAATTGAGAGCGAATGCTATTGCAATTTGTAACTAGCAGAATACCGATCAAAATTATAATAACTATGGAGAAAATAGATTAAAACAGGTGAAACTTGATCTTTTTGAACAAAATAATTCGATATTAATTAACGAGCCACAACAATGTTGCAAATGACTATAATATAAACAGGCAATATAGATATTCCTGAATGGACGGCTTATTAAATCAAATATTAACCAACGGTACATTTTGCAAAACATCTGGGTGTTACAGTGTTCTAAATGTTTTATACAGACAATTGCCCACTGACCCGCCCACTATATTCTGAAAATCCAGAGTCTCTATGGCAGCATCGTGCAATGCAAAGAGAGATTTATAAATACAAAATGGATATATACTCACAAAGGCTGCCCCATATTAATCCGTTCACCTAGTCTACGAATACTATAAACGAAGACAGCTACTTACGTGTGTACATGATGCATGTTTTTGAAAATAGTTTATATAATATAAACACACAACGCGCCTCGAGCGAAAAAGATCGCACTTATTTTTAGAACGAGTTTGTACAAAAGAAAGAAAAGAGAGAAAGACATCGATTGCACGACACGAGTTATAGTTACCTTCAGCTTTGAGTTTAGCGCAGCTCTGTGCGTAGGGACAATTTCAGGTAGAGTTTTATATGCAAGAAACATGCATTTTACGTAACGTCAATCTTCCAAACAGATACAAATTATATCTGCTCAAGTCAATATGCCTTTTTGAACACGAGAGTGGACTATGATAGATTAAATAATGGGGTAGCCGCCTCGTGTATTTATAAATATATATAAATATATATACATAAATAACTACAGTATACGTGTGTGAGTATATATACATATCTAAAATTTCTTATTCTTATCTGACAACAATGACTAAACTGATGTGACTCCAATAAATCGTGGCAACAGATACAGATAAATAATATCCCATGGAAAAAAATGAGATCTGCATAATGAATTCTTTAATGATTATGTAGTTTTTGAGAAAATCGATTTTGCATACGTGAAAGTAACGTCCTTTAATTCCACTATAAAATCACTTCTCAAAAACTATAAAATCAATAATGAAAATTTATTCTGTACGTTCCACTTAAGTTTTTTTACGAAAAATTACGTCTCGACAATTGTACCACGATTTACACTCAACCCTCCGTATGTATATGTAAACATACACGTATTTACATATTGTAATATCACGCAGACAGTTAAGTGCGGGAATATTTTCTTCCATCGTTGCGGTATTGCATTAGACTGTGGTGATGAAAGTAATACTGCCGCAAAAGGGAAACCTATCGTTTTGTACTGTTCTATATCATGAAGTTTGACTGTAAAAAAAAACCGTATTGAGGAAATGCATAATATTAGATTATATATACATATATATAAACATACATAGGCATATGCATACATACATAAAAATAATTTACATTAAAAATATTTGTTGTAAATTAAAATCTTTCGTAACAGCTCTGTGCTCTGTTTTGATAGTAGAAAATGAAAGATAAAAGAAAAATAGGTGAAAAATGAAAAGAGGAAAAAGGTATTTGTTGGTGAGTTATTCCACATGTCAAATATGTATGTATATTGTATGTGTATGTATATATACATATATATATATACATATGTATATATACAGATATACATATTATCATGCGGTATGCAATTAGTTGTATATTTTAATGCCCATATGAATATATTGTATACAGTGCGTATATGCACATATATGTATATTGGAATCATTACTAATTGATTTATGTATATATATATATACACACACACACACCTAGTCCAGGCTTTGATCCTGCCCACGATTCTACATAACTTTTTACATGTTAATTAGGAAGAAAAATTAGCGAGACAAGTCACCTAAATTTTACAAAGATATGTAAAACGCACGTTTGAACGATTGTTAAAGTTGATATGACATTATTTTTCCTTTTTTTATCGAATTGTTGGACAATGTAACATATTCCTTACGTAATCGTAAAGTGTAGAAAATAGTGATTAAAAATGAATTATACTGTTTTGCTGACTTTTTTTTAACAAAAGTGTAAATCAATTAATTACATTTTTATTTAATAAAATATATATAATGTATTTGTGGGTCTCGCTTTGTCTTCTCTAATGATTAACCGGCTCTAAGAGGAAAATGGAATTCTGTAAAAGCGCAATTCAATTGGTCATTTTGATCGCTGACACAGCCGAGTAATGGAGAATATCCAATAGAAAGATCTGATTCTCAGGGACAAAATTATCGTCAACTAGGGACCCTATAAAATATTATTTCCTATTGGATATCCGATGTGCATCCAATATAATTTTGTAGTGAATGTGATATGAACTGTCCATTACAAGATTTCGCTACGGAGTCTTGTTTACAATTGTGACAGGTTAGTGTTTTTCAAATAGATTTTCAGATAGAATTTGGAGTTACTTACTAAGTTAAAAAAGGGAAATATGTCAAGAAAGAAGCATAATATATCGTATATTAAACCGGACGAACCAAAATTTCTGCGGGAATTAAAAGAACAGATTGGATACAAAGAAGGTCCTACTGTTGATACCAAGGTAAGATGTTTGTAAGCTATTTATCATAGATTTAGAAAAATAATGATATGCTATTTTATTTATACCCATACTTTGTATTTAAGTTTATAATTAAAATAAAATATAAAATGTAAATGTGTATGATTCTTTAAATTAGAGAGAAGTTTTGCCAGAAGCATCCGACGATGAAAGAGAAGACTTGGTCGATGAAAAACCTATTGTTGTTGTATTAAATTCTGGCGATTTGACAGCGGAAGAAGCTGATGCTTTTAAGAAGCAGAAAGAGGAAGGTCTAGAAACAAAGCAAAAGTTAAAGCTGTAGACCTGCATGAACCATTCGACATGGCATTATATAATATGAATCTAATTGCAACACTTATTTATGGAAATTATTAATTTGCAGAAGAAAAGAATGCCTCAGCTGACCTCTCAAAGAAGATTATATTTCGCAAGACTAAAACAACAGATACAGAGTCTACAACTGATTCAGATAAACCTGTGAAAAAGAAAGCAAAAAAAGAAAAGCAAAAAGTTGTCCTATCCTTTGATACTAATAACGATGATGAGGAAAATGTTGGATGACTGGATTGAGAACTTTTTACTTGAGTGTACATATTATGTCTTATATATAAATATTTTTTTGTAAATACATATTGTAAAACAGATTTTTAATATGTTATTGATTCAAGAATTATCAATATTAGAGAGTAAATTTTCTTCTATAAGAAAAAAATGTTGATTGATAAAATATGAAGTGAGTCTTGTAAAAAAAAATGCTATTGTTAAAAAGAATTTTTATTTATATGTAAATATAATTGATGTTGTTCTTAAGAAAGAGATAGGTAATTTTTTTTTACAAAATCATGTTTAAATAAAACATATTAATAATATACATAATCTGACAAGTCTATTATATTTATATATTTATATATATGCATTCTGCAAATGCGTTTGATAATCGAAATGTTTGCATAATGCAAATGGTGAGGGAATCTCATTAAATTCAAAGTTATGTAGAACATGATATAGAATCTTCTTTTACAAAATCTTTTACAAAAATTAATTTATTTTTTTCGACTTTCAGAAATTTCCATAATAAATTAATGAATTATCGCGTGGATTCCACACGCCAAAAGGGCAAACGTGTCCACCCCATTTACGCCATTTTGATTGCAGTTCGCCCTTATTTTTAGGGAAGCACATCTCCCATTGGACGTACACGTGTACTCGGTCACGTGACGACGTGCAACAACCGCCACTGGCCGATCGCCGGCCCTTTAACATCCGCGATACGTCATGGAACGTCGCGGGTCACGTGACGGCCGGTCTGCCATCTTGGCAGTTTCGCCGACGATGGTAAGAGGAGCGGATCGGTGACGTCGCGGCTGAAATAAACATCGTGTGCGTGCGAGCGGCTCGTCGGCTCTCGACACGAGGAACGCCGACGTATTGTGGGCGACGTTGGAAGCCGCGTGTGCCACCGCAGGTGTTCGCCGGCGTGCCGAACGAACGGTCAGTGGGAATTTAAATAAGCGCGGCAATCCGGATGCGTGTGTCGTTGCGTGCGTTGCGGCGATCGTCGTTCGGGGGGATGACGAGGTCGCGGTCGGCAGCTGTTCGACGTGCGGCGGCACGTCGCGGCCGCGGTCCGTCACGCAGAAATGGCGGGAGCATTCGACCAGTCCCCCTCGCTATTGCGGTGGCCGTGGCGTGCGTGAACGAACGAGTAAATGAATGAGAGAGTGTGTGAACGCGTACGTACATACATGCGTGCGGATGCAGGTACGTACAAGGGAGACAGAGCGAGAGGAGGCGAATTTCTCCATCCCGCGCATCCGCGTACCGCGTCGCGTCGCGCGTACGATGCCGCTGCGATTCGTCTGGATTTTGTGTTTTTTTCCTCGCGGCACGCTCGCAGCACGCTTGCGACACGCTCGCGGGGAACGACGTGCTCAGGACCGTAGCGCGTCCACCGGGCGCCCCTCGAGTCTCCCTCTAGTTTCTCCCGCCTCCCACCATTGCAGTTTTCGTCCCGCCGCGCAGGAACCTTTTCGGTCCGATTCTGTGCGACAAGCCCACGTATGTGTTTCGACCTCCTCTCTTCGCTGCACGGCCGTGATGACGGGCACGCTTGCATCGGTAAACAATGCCAGGATTCCAAAATGGAGGCCAGAGTAGGGATTTCGTTATTAACCAGCAACGTCAGAAACTCGGAACTTCAATTTTGCATCCGCGTTGTGTCAATGATGATCGAATAATTTTTTTTTGTTCTATGTATCAATTAGTTTTCCATTCTACATGCGACATTTATGAAAAATAATAATCTCATATAATTATAGAAAAATAACTTTTTCTTATCTAGAGTCAACATTTTTCAATTTATTTTATCGATGATCAATTTTTGCGATATAAATTAATTGTATTTGTCATATATTCTCTCTCTCTCTCTCTCCTCCTTCCTTCCCCCTCTCGCTCCCCTCCTCCCCTTCTCACCCCCA